AATAGTCTACGTGTTTTGCGATCACTGTGCATTTGGCGCGGTGCTCAGGAGTCCAAATAATAGTGAAGCCAGCATTGAGAAGTTTTTGTCTGGTCTCGGTTGAGGTGTACGTTTCGTAAGAATGTCTGTCAAGAAGTAGTTTGAATCCAGAGTTGGTTTTAAAGACTTTATACTGAGGAGCGCCAGTGATCTGGTACAGTAAATTTTCCCGGACGATAGTGGCATGATCAGATTTAGAGTATTTGAGGTTAAGCGAGAAAGAATTGGGCTTGGAAGAGGTGGGGGCAGGGTAGGCCTTAGAAGCAGGAGTAGACAGAGTAGAGGCAGGTGTTGGCAGTAGAGGAGTGGTAAGGGGAAAGGAGGTGGAAGGCAAATTTCAGGCATCGTAAATTAGATGTGGGGGCCATCCTGTGAAAAAATTGGCTTTGGCAAGTACGTGTGAAGTAGACACACGTACTTGCCCGGTTATAACTTGTAAGTTTTTTTGGGGGAGTCCGTCTCTGGAGGCACGGAAAACTGAGGAGGTGAGCTGTAGCTTGATGGAGCACTGTTGCCCTGACTGGCTGTAAGGCGTGCAGACCAAACGTACAGGCTGAGGCGTGGAGACTTCAGACAGCAACAGGAGTGCAGAGGGAGGCTTCCTGCCCTTGGGTAGGCGCCACCGACGCACCAATCCTGATGGTGGAAGACGAAGGTCCAGTAACCACCACTCGGTGAAGAGAACAACTTGGCTGTGAGCGATGAGGAGAGCCAACACTAGCTGAATGTCGAGCAGACTTCACATACAGGCTGAGGCGTGGAGACTTCAGACAAAGGGAGGAGAGGGCAAAAAATGGCTGTATTGCGTGTAGACTACACGAACAGTCCCGGAGGTGGAGGCTACAGATACAACAGGAGTGCAAGGGAGGCTTTGCTTGGGTAGGCAACCACCGACGCACCCAATCCTGAAGGTGAAGAAAAGGGTTTTTGAAAAACCACCACTTGAGGTTAGTCACCCCCCCCCTAAAACAGGGGGTAATTATAGAGGCGGGGAATCGTTGTCGATGGAGCTGGTGCCCCAATGGTTTTTCTCAGCGGGCCCTTTTGGGTTATTTCGTGGCCCAAGCACCCCCCCCAAAAACCAGTGTACGACTGACGCCTAGGTCTGACCCCGGTAAAGAAAAAAAAAAAGACTCAGACGTGGGGTGGTACGACGTTTGCCAAGGAAAGGGTTTTGTGACTTTATAATTGGTTAAATTAGGTCCCCCCCGGGAGCCTAACAACCCCCAGCTAAAACTACTTAAACCCCCCTTTTTTCCCCCCTTTTTTAAAATATCTGAGAATGGACAATTTGTCCAAAGTTATTGGGACTTTTTTAACCCAAAACCCCCCTTAAATCTATTAAAATTTTAAAAGCAAAAATTTTTTAAAAAATAAAAAAATTATTCAACTTCCCATAAAATTTCCCTAAACCCCTTCTCAACCCCCCCGGCAGCAAAATAAAGTACCCTCGAAAGTTAAACCAGCATAATAGTTCCCTCTCTGGAAAAAAAAGCCTCCTTTAACCCATTTTTTTCCTTAAACCTAAAAATGGGCCCCGGGCCTTCCCTACTTCTACTAAAAAATGCACTACCCAATTTGCTATTTCCCCCCTCGCACGTTACCCTTTGGGGCCCAAACCCTCTCTAGGTTCTATGGGGGGAAAAAAAACTGCCCCCCCACGGGTTCCCTTTTATTTCAAGTAACTGCAACGGGGCCCCACTTCACGCCCACCAAGGTCGAATTTTCGGCACATTTCCCACATGCACACTACAACTTCGGGGAAAATCGAGACAGGGCGGGATCCAGCAAAGGGCCCCTCCATTATCCTTTTGCCACTACTAGGATTCCGGGGCCTCATAAAAAAAGGAACCCTTTAAATCACGGGGCCCGTATTCAAGGTCACCTTATTTCACCCCGGTAACACTAACACTTTGGCAAGTAAAAGTGGGGCGGGGGGACATCCACACTCTTAATTGTTTTTCGGGGGTTGGAGGGCTTTCCCTGAATCCCGGGTTTCGTACAGGTTGCCCAGCAGGCGGGTTTTTCCCTCCATACCCCCTTGTTTTAACGGTGGTCCCAGCGCTGGGTCCATCTCCGCGGCGCCCCCTTTTCCACATCTCTGGGGTTTGGAAAGCGCCTTCATAGAGATTTCCTGTCCGGGAAACACCAGCCAGGATCCCTCACACACCAGGCGGCATCACCGCCATCTCCCCCTTTGACCCCTTAGGCCCAAGAATCGCGATCAAGCACGGCCCCAGCAAAAGCAGAAAGATCACAAGGCCCGGGGGCCCCAGCATGACGCATCCGCCGGCCCCCGCATAGCAGGGCAGCATTTACAGCACAGCAGACAGAAACACAGATAGCAGACAGGGCCCTCACGCAAAGCCACAGCATTGGGAGACAGCTTTACAGCAGCCGGGAAACGAGTGGGGAAGGTATTGGGCAGTTGCTCGGGTGAGGTGAGGTCAAATTCAAAGGGCATCAAAAGCAGGGGGCGGGGCACCCAAACCCTGGCAAAAATGGGGGAACTGGCGGGCCCCCGGGTGATAGTCCCAGGGGGTTGGGTGACTCAGGACACCCACTAAATTTGGGTGACAGACCAGGGCAGAAAAAATCCCTGGGGCACTCAAATTGGGTGCTGGGGGACATCGGGGGGGGGAAATAATCACAGGCATCTTTCAGTGGGTGACAGTTGTGGGCAATCTTCCAAGGCGGGCTGGGTGAATTCCCAATTCCCCTGGGAAATTTTAAATTTTGGCCAGAAAAGGGGTTTCCCCCCAAAAAATCTCACCCAAAAACCAAAAATTTCACCCTTTATAAAAAAAATTTCGTTCCCACGTGTTCCCGCAGTGTCTGTTACGGGCCTTTGGGGGTCCCCGGGAGAGGGTTACGTTTTCCTATGTGTTCCCGCAGTGCTGTTACGTTCCCTATGTTTTCCCGGCAGTGCTCTGTTACGTTCCCCATGGGTTCCTAAACTGCTCTGTTACGTTCCCCATGTGGGCCCCGTAGTGCTTTTCTTACGTTCCCCCGTGTGTTCCTGCGTGCCCTGTTTTCGTTCCTATGTGTTCCTGCGTGCCCCGTTTCGTTCCCTCTGTGTCAATTTCAATTTCCCTGTTACGTTCCGTTTTGTGTTCTGCAGTGCCCCGTTACGTTTTAGTATGTGTTCCTGCAGTGCCTGTTACGTTCCCTTTGTGTTCCCGCAGACCCCGTTACGTTGTATGTGTCCCTGCGGGGCCCCGTTACGTTTCTGTATGGTCCCCGCAGTGCCTTGTTAGTTCCGTATGTGTTTCCCTTTCAGTGCCCGTTTTCGTTCCGTCTGTGTCCATTTCAGGCCCTGTTTCGTTTAGTTGTGTTTCCTTTCGGGGCCCTGTTACGTTGGGATGTGGCCCCCGCAGTGCCCCGTTACGTTCCCTTTGGGTCCCGTAGTGCTCTGTTTCGTTCCGTAACTTTTTACCGGGAGTGCCTGTTACATTCCGTCTGAGTCCCCGCAGTTCCCTTTTTTACGTTTTTTGTGTGTCCCCTGCCAAAGCTCTGTTACGTTCCCTATATTTTTCCCGCAGTGCTTGTTTTTGGGTTTCCCGTGGGTCCCCGCAAAAGCTTTTGTTCCCTTCCCTATATGTTTCTTTAAATGCTCCGTTACGTTCCCTATGTGTTTTTGCAGTGCTTGTTACGTTCCCATGTGTCCCCTTTCAATGCTCTGTTTTGTTCCCCTGTGGGCCCCCTGTGCTCTGTTCGTTCCTGTGTTTCCCGCAGTGGTGTTATGTTCCCTATGTGTCCCTGCAGTGGGCCCCCTTCCCTTCCCTTTTGTGTCCCTGCGGACCCCCTTACGTTCCGTACGTGTCCCTGCAGTGCCCTGTTTTCGTTCCCTTTTTTGTTCCTGCCCGTGCCCTTTTACGTTCCGTATTTGGGCCCCGCATTGTCCTGTTTCCCTTCCTCGTTTTGGTTCCCGCAGTGGGCCGGGTTTCGTTCTTGTGTCCCCCCCAATGCCCCGTTAAAGTTTGTTTTGTGTTCCCGCAGTTTCCCTTTTTACGTTCCCTTTCGTGTCCCTGCAGTGCCCCGTTTTGGGTTTCCCTAAAGTGTCCCCGCAGTGCCCTGTTAGTTCCGTAAATTTTTTCCTGCAGTGTGTTACGTTCCCCCTGTTTTCCCTGCAGTGGGCCCCCTTGTTAAGTTCCGTTGGGCCCTGCAGTGTCCCGTTTCGTTCCTTCCCGTGTCCCTTTCAATTTCCTGTTACTTTCCGTACGTGTCCCTGCAGTGCCCTGTTGCGTTCCGTATGTGTCCCTGCAGTGCCCTGTTACGTTCCATATGTGTTCCTGCAGTGCCCTGTTACGTTCCTTCCTTTTCCCTGCAGTGCCCTGTTAGGTTCCGTACGTGCCCCTGCAGTACCCTGTTACGTTCCGTGTGTGTCCCTGCAGTGCCCTGTTACGTTCCGTACGTGTCCCTGCAGTGCCCTGTTACGTTCCATACGTGTCCCTGCAGTGCTCTGTTACGTTCCGTACGTGTCCCTGCAGTGCTCTGTTACGTTCCGTCTGTGTCCCTCCAGAGCTCTTACGTTCCGTCTGGGACCATTTATACCTATACTCTCCAGCTGAGAATTTATTTAGGCTCGGGTACATAAAAACTATTATCGTAGAGTGTAAATTACCCACCAGGATAACCCAAAAAAAGTCTGACAATGGAAGGGAGGGGGAAACCTTAATATTATAAGATGGGAGAGAGGTGGAATTGAGAGATCTGAGGGAAAAGGCCTTTAATGTAACACATTTAACTATCCAAGGTTTTCTTAATGGCTGTCTTGTCAAGGTACTGACCTTGAATGATAAATCCGCATACGAAGATATTCCCCCAAAATATTTTTCGACTTGTCTTCGATGATTTAGTAATCATAAAATAGGAGAAAATAGAACACATCAGCTTCAGACAATAGAATTTGCACGATGTCAAAGTGACTTAATTACTTTAAGATCTGGTAGACAACTTACCATTTGTCTGGCAAAAGTTTGTTGACTGTGATCGTTCCAGACGTTAGTGTCATTACTGTTGTGAGGCTGACTGGAAGGAGCAGCCTGGAAGAACACCACCACGACGAAGATCATTACCAACAGTAGGAATGTAGTGAAGGGCGTTGCCTTGATGGTTGATGCCTTGAGAACCATGATCTGCCTGCTGTAAGGGAACAATAAGAGAACAAGTCAGTGACAGACCATCAGGTATTAACATGATCTGCCTGCTGGAGGGGGACAATAAGAGAACAAGTCAGTGACAGACCATCAGATATTAACATGATCTGCCTGCTGGAGGGGGACAATAAGAGAACAAGTCAGTGACAGACCATCAGATATTAACATGATCTGCCTGCTGGAGGGGGACAATAGAGAACAAGTCAGTGACAGACCATCAGATATTAACATGATCTGCCTGCTGGAGGGGGACAATAAAGAGAACAAGTCAGTGACAGACCATCAGATATTAACATGATCTGCCTGCAGGAGGGGGACAATAAGAGAACAAGCCAGTGACAGACCATCAGATATTAACATGATCTGCCTGCTGGAGGGGGACAATAAGAGAACAAGCCAGTGACAGACCATCAGATATTAACATGATCTGCCTGCTGGAAGGGGACAATAAGAGAACAAGTCAGTGACAGACCATCAGATATTAACATGATCTGCCTGCTGGAGGGGGACAATAAAGAGAACAAGTCAGTGACAGACCATCAGATATTAACATGATCTGCCTGCTGAGGGGGACAACAAGAGAACAAGTCAGTGACAGACCATCAGATATTAACATGATCTGCCTGCTGGAGGGGGACAATAAGAGAACAAAATCAGTGACAGACCATCAGATATTAACATGATCTGCCTGCTGGAAGGGAACCAATAAGAGAACAAGTCAGTGACAGACCATCAGATATTAACATGATCTGCCTGCTGGAGGGGGACAATAAGAGAACAAGTCAGTGGACAGACCATCAGATATTAACATGATCTGCCTGTTGGAGGAGGACAATAAGAGAACAAGTCAGTGACAGACCATCAGATATTAACATGATCTGCCTGCTGGAGGGGGACAATAAGAGAACAAGTCAGTGACAGACCATCAGATATAACATGATCTGCCTGCTGGAGGGGGACAACAAGAGAAACAAGTCAGTGACAGACCATCAGAAATTAACATGATCTGCCTGCTGGAGGGGGACAATAAGAGAACAAGTCAGTGACAGACCATCAGATATTAACATGATCTGCCTGCTGGAGGAGGACAATAAGAGAACAAGTCAGTGACAGACCATCAGATATTAACATGATCTGCCTGCTGGAGGGGGACAATAAGAGAACAATGTCAGTGACAGACCATCAGATATTAACATGATCTGCCTGCTGGAGGGGGACAATAAGAGAACAAGTCAGTGACAGACCATCAGAAATTAACATGATCTGCCTGCTGGAGGGGGACAATAAGAGAACAAGTCAGTGACAGACCATCAGATATTAACATGATCTGCCTGCTGGAGGGGGACAATAAAGAGAACAAGTCAGTGACAGACCATCAGATATTAACATGATCTGCCTGCTGGAGGGGGACAATAAGAGAACAAGTCAGTGACAGATCATCAGATATTAACAAGATGGGAAGGTAATAGCTGTGTTTGTAAATAAGAAACACTCAGGTCTAGTTCTTCTAGATCTTCGACGAAGTATAAAATACAAAGTTCACGTTGATAAACATGGTGGTAGGGATGACATATATATATATATATATATATATATATAATATATATATATATATATATATATATATATATATTTATATATATATATATATATATATATTATATATATATATTATATATATATATATATATATATTATATATATATATATATATATATATATATAATATATATATATATATATATATATATATATTTATTTATTATTTATTTTATTATCACACTGGCCGATTCCCACCAAGGCAGGGTGGCCCGAAAAAGAAAAACTTTCGCCATCATTCACTCCATCACTGTCTTGCCAGAAGGGTGCTTTACACTACAGTTTTTAAACTGCAACATTAACACCCCTCCTTCAGAGTGCAGGCACTGTACTTCCCATCTCCAGGACTCAAGTCCGGCCTGCCGGTTTCCCCTGAACCCCTTCATAAATGTTACTTTGCTCACACTCCAACAGCACGTCAAGTATTAAAAACCATTTGTCTCCATTCACTCCTATCAAACACGCTCACGCATGCCTGCTGGAAGTCCAAGCCCCTCGCACACAAAACCTCCTTTACCCCCTCCTCCAACCTTTCCTAGGCCGACCCCTACCCCGCCTTCCTTCCACTACAGACTGATACACTCTTGAAGTCATTCTGTTTCGCTCCATTCTCTCTACATGTCCGAACCACCTCAACAACCCTTCCTCAGCCCTCTGGACAACAGTTTTGGTAATCCCGCACCTCCTCCTAACTTCCAAACTACGAATTCTCTGCATTATATTCACACCACACATTGCCCTCAGACATGACATCTCCACTGCCTCCAGCCTTCTCCTCGCTGCAACATTCATCACCCATGCTTCACACCCACTATAAGAGGCGTTGGTAAAACTATACTCTCATACATTCCCCTCTTTGCCTCCAAGAACAAAGTTCTTTGTCTCCACAGACTCCTAAGTGCACCACTCACCCTTTTCCCCTCATCAATTCTATGATTCACCTCATCCTTCATAGACCCATCCACTGACATTTCCACTCCCAAATATCTGAATACATTAGTAGTGGATTTTTCCACTGGGGGCCCCTTCAAAGGATGCCGCCTTTTCACACCTATGTGCTAATGACCTTGACCCTATGATAATGAGCCTTCCGGACACGTGTCACCTTTTCACACCTAGGTGTTACTTCCGGTTTTGACCATGACCTCGCCCTCGAGACTACCTCACCCTTGACCCCCCAACCAATACCCCCGCCCACGACCCCCCCCCCTTCGCGACCCCGCCCGCGCCCTTCGCGACCCCCGCCCGCGCGCCCGCCCACGCGCCCCGCCCGCGCGCCCGCCCGCGCCCTTCGCGACCCCCGCCCGCGCCTTCTGCTGCGCCTTCTGCAGCGTCGTCCGGATCGACCCCGCGCCTCGAATTTTTTTTCTTATGATCTCCTTGGATCAAGGTTTTTGGATTCTCCCCTATGGGGTTTCGAATTTTTTTTGAATTTCATTTTCTTGTGCTCTCCATCTCCTCGGATCAAGTTTTTTTGGTTACCCCTCCTTTCACCCCCAAAAAATTTCTCAATATTACCAAGTTTTTGGATTCCCCCCTATGGGGGTTTCGAAAGTCTCCATCTCCTCAGATCAAATTTTTAAGGTTCCCCCTCCCACTTTCACCCCCCAATCCCAAAAATTTCTCGATAATACAAGTTTTTGGATTCCCCCCCCCTATGGGGGTTTTGAATTTCTTATGATCACCTTGGATCAAATTTTTGGATTACCCCTCCCACTTTCACCCACCCCCCACCTCAAATTTTTCTCGATAATACCATGACTCCATCTCCTCGAATCAAATTTTTTGGATCCCCCTATGGGTTTTCGAAATTCTCCATCTCCTTGGATCAAGATTTTTTTTGGATTACCCCTCCCACTTTCACCCACCCCCACCCCAAATTTTTCTCAATATTACAAGTTTTTGCATTCCCCCCTATGGGGGTTTTCGAAATTCCCATCTCCTTGGGTC